CCAAGCTATTGTTGGCCCTGCAGGAACTCAGAGAGGTGGAGGATAAACGGGGAGTTGAGGGGGCCGGGAGGAGGATCGCAGCACCTTGGTTAGGAGTAAACAAGTACGTGCATTCACACAGAGTCCTCAACTTCATCAGCTGTAAAGACCGTGACTTTAAAATACCAAGGAGTTCCCTAAACAAGACTGTGAGTACATCTGGGGGAAGGGTGAGAAATGGATGGTTTTTCTTTTTTTGAAAAAGGAGAGAGAGAGAAATAAAATAGCCGGATGCCTTTGAGGTTGTATTCCAAACGTGGGAGGGGCTTTCGGCGACCTGACCTCTTTTCCCGTCCATCTCTCGGGCAACCCGCTGGCAAAGGGGGCCACTGTTGAATGAGAGAGAGAAGATGCCGCTCCTGCTCACAAGCCCTTGGGCACAGGGAAAAGTCCTTCCTGCTGACCTGCTGCTGGCGGTGAGGCGGATTCCCTTTGCCCTCCCAGCCTGCTCCCTCTCACTGGTCTTGCATCTGCTGCTGCATCTTCTGCAGCATCTCCTGCATTCTTCGCAACTGCAAAAAGACAACAGGCCAGCAGTGAGGCGGCTTCAGCCTGGCAAGTATCAGTAGCAACAGTGTTCGCTAATGGCCAAGCAGGGAAAGAATCGTGCTGAACAGTCCCTGTATCGACAAAAGGAGCTTTGACTCTCAAAACCTTATACTCCGAAAGTCTGAGGTGCTCCTGGACTAGAATCTAGCTGTTCTACTGCAACATGGCAACAGTTCCAACATGGAAACATCTGAGGTAAATTAAGCAGAGAGAGAGAGAGAGAAAACATGACTGGCCCAAGATGAGTTTCCTGGTGGAGTGAGGATCTGAACCCAAGTCTCTCCGTTCCATGTCCAATGAACATGGTTCTCTCCTCTTCCAGTTTCTCCTTGCAGCAGCCCGATGAAGTAGGCTGAGAAGGACGTTAGAATGAGTAGCTCAAGGTCACCACCTTGTGTGAGCTTCATGGCTGAGTGAGGATCTGAACCTGGGTCTCCATGGTCCTAGTCCAACACTCTAGCCATTGCACCACACTCTCTCTTCATTTACTGTGGCTCACATGTGCTGGAATATGCAAGGTCTACAGTGCAGCCTTATGAAGAAGACAGGGGGACAGCTGAAGGACTGGTAGTTAGCACACTTAGATTAGGGACTGCCCACAATTTCAAATTATGTCCTTGCTGTCTCCTGATTGGCTTTCCTGGAGACTTCCTGCTCCTGCAGAGCTTCCTATTATTCTTGTCTCCTTTCACAGCGGTTAGCCTGGTTAGTTTAGGTTTTCTCTATATATGTTCTATAACAGTTTGTTCTTCTATAATAAACCTACTTATTTTTATCTACACAGACAGTGCTCCACTTCCTTTGTATATTTTAAACTCTGACAACAACTTGTACCTGTGAAATTTCAGAAATCTTGGAAACCTGTTTTTTTCCCTTGTTTAATTTCTGCCAAATGCATAAGACAGCATAGCTGAAGCTGAAAAAGATGGCCCCTTGATGTGACCCTATTTTCTTCCCTTCCTTCCATCTTTACCAAGGAGCGACTGATTTGGAGTGGCACAAATCTGTTGCTCTGTATTTAGGAAGAGGGCCATGAACTTGGGCCAACTGGCTGATGCCTCTATAGGCCCAGTGCCAAAACAGACTCTTACCTCTTCATCCTTCATCTTGATCAACTTCTCCGTTTCAGCATCTGGCGTAGGTAGAGGCAGGATCGGAATGGGGCTCTCTATCCTGTTGTCCTGAGTCAGCTTGCTGAAAGGACCCAAAAAAAAAGGGGGGGGGTGGAGACTTTAGGCCATGCTGGATCTTATCTAGGATCATGCTCGGTATGGATGAGCACACAGAGACATGCCCACACATGGCTGACGGACAGCCATGAAGCAGAATGGACACCTCATGCCTGGACATCCTTACGGGACCCCTGGAACGTATCACTGAACAAATCACAGGTTTTAGTGATTCTTGAGGTTTAAGGCTCCTCTGAATCTCTACACTTGAGCCTGCCTTAGCATTCTCCCCTATTCACTGAAAGCTTCCGCTGCATTTAGAAACATGCAGGCGTGGTCTCAAATATCTGGGGGGTTGGAATAACATCTCAGGTTGAGTGTCCATTTAGCTTCAGTGGGCAAAACGCTACATTTCGTAAGCAGAGCCTCACAGAACCTAGTCCAAGGCTTGCCTCTACAGACTGCTTTCCAGTGCATGCTAGTTAAAGATGGTTAGTGGAAACAGGCACTTTGAAGGTGTACTTGCAACATCAGACAGCACCCCATGGTGGAAGCCTCTTCTGTACACATACGTCCCCCTCCAATTATTCAACTTTCAAATATCTTTTTTAAAGAAAAGAATTGCTGCATTTTAGTTCCTTTGATGATAGGCATGCATAATTTGTGAGTGCAGTTTATCTCTCTGGCAAGACAAATTTGTATGCTGGGATCATAAATCTCTATTTAGTCATCAAATGGATATGCAAATCAAATCTGTTTCTTCCACACTTCTATACCTGTTTAATTTTACGAATAGCCGAAATGGACAAAAATCAAGAAATTGACCTGTGTACTGACAAGAGAGATGAAATAGGATTCCACTAAGGATCAGCCTTAGAATGTTCTCTCCAGTTCTTTCATTAAAACCATCTGTTTTTGTGAGCAGACAGTTGAGTAGATAGGCACAACCGGAGCCCAGCAATCTCCAGATCTGGCATCCTGGGCAGTCGCGTGGGTTGCCTGGCTTTTTAGGGGCTATGGATCACCTTCTCCTCTATGAGCCTACCTGTTAGGGTTGCCAGTCCCTCCCTGGCCACCCATGGTGGGATGGTGGGATAGGGCTGCCAGATCCAGGTTGGGAAACTCCTGGAGGTTTGGGGATTGAGCCTGGAGAGCACAGGGGTCTCAGTGGGGTATAATGGAGCCCACCCAATTGTTTCCTTCTGGCCTTCCTTGGAGACTTTACAAGGCTGGGTAGAAATGCTGTCAACAACTAAACATAGAAACTCAGGGACTTTTGCCTTGGCAAGTACCCTTCCGAAGCCATTCAAGAATCTATCGTTACTAACCCCAAAGCAGTAGTTTTCAAAGTATGAGCCTCAGGAAAGCCTTTCTGCACTGAAACATCTGTTGAGGAACATCTACAGCCCTGCCATCAAACCTCTACACACAATAGAACAGGGTCAGCTGCAGGTTTTTTTGTGGGACCTTTTCCACAGGGCCATAGCTCCCCTTCCCTTCCCAACTGTGACTGTTCTTCTCACAACTGGGGCAACCTTCCCCACCACAATCACAACTCACCTGTCCCCCACCCATTGCTGCTATAATACCAGGAGGGGGTACAACCTTCTCACACTCCTTTTAGACCCATCAGTGACAGAGGTTCTTAAGAAAGCAAGATAGGGTCGCCACAAAGATTCATGGGCCTCCTGGCCAAAAGCAAGGAGGGTCTGGAGAAAGCAGCCAAGCCTAATGCTCTTGTGTGCTGCCTCTAGGAACATCTTTGGTTGAGAAATGAGAGACTGACCAGGCATCTCCTTTGAAGGGCGGGCTCTTGACCAGGCTGTGGGCCTTGGCAGGTGCACAACTATGCTGACCATTGATGCCGACTCTACTACCAGGGATTCTCTGATTTGTTCTAGGATGGACTCCATATTTATGCGAGAGAGTGGGGCCTTACTGTTGCCTTCTGTAGACTCAGGGCAAGATTTGCACTCCCTGTGGCTACTAGTTGTGGGCAACTTATCATTCAGGAAAGCTTCTGTGATATTAACTTATCTCACAAAGGAGCACCAAATAAGATTCCAAAAGCTCCTCCAACCCGATGCATGTTCTTGAGATAGCTTGAAAATTGCTGCTCTTTATATATTTGGATTGAGGCAGGGTCCTCTTGAGAACATTAGCACCATCTCACCAGTAGATGTCACTCTTACAATTAATTACACCTTTTTTGACTTTGTTATTGTTTTTTTAGGGTTAAAGTCTCATGGTTTAGTTTCAAAACATAAAGCAACATGCAACAGAAACCACTAGATGGTGCCATTCAAACCCAAACACCATAAGCGCCATGAACAGGAATGGATCAAGCAAGGCCATTAAAGAAAGATGTGATCCATTCAATGCTGAAGACAACTGATTGACTGTAGCATGCTGGTCATTTTCCCACTTAACTATCCAGTACATTTTAAATCCAACCTTTCCTTCAAAAAGAAGAGGAGAGAAGAAGAGGAGATTGGATTTATACCCTGCCCTTCACTTGGAGTCTCTGTCACTCTTACAATTAATTACACCTTTTTTGACTTTGTTAATGTTTTTTTAGGGATAAGTCTCATGGTTTAGTTTCAAAACATAAAGCAACATGCAACAGAAACCACTAGATGGTGCCATTCAAACCCAAACACCATAAGCGCCATGAACAGGAATGGATCAAGCAAGGCCATTAAAGAAAGATGTGATCCATTTAATGCCAAAGACAACTGATTGATTGTAGCATGCTGGTCATTTTCCCACCTAACTATCCAGTACATTTTTAATCCAACCTTTCCTTCAAAAAGAAGAAGAGAGAAGAAGAGGAGATTGGATTTATACCCTGCCCTTCACTTGGAGTCTCAGAGCGGCTTACAAACTCCTTTCCCTCCCCCTCCCCACAACAGACACCCTGTGAGGTAGGTGGGGCTGAGAGAGCTCTTTCAACACCTGCTCTTTCAAGAACAGCTCTGACAGAACTACGGCTTGCCCAAGGTCATCCAGCAGCTGCAAGTGGAGGAGTGGGGAATCAAACTTGGTTCTCCCAGATTAGAGTCCGCACACGTAACCACTACACCAAACTGGCTCAAGGTAGAATACATAGTTCCTCCTCCTTCATTTTATCCACACAACCACAGTATGAATTATGTTAGGCTGAGGGAAAACGACTGACCCAAGGTGAGCATCATGGCAGACTGGAGACAGAAACCCAAGTCTCTGAGATCCTAGTCCAGCACTCCGGTCATCACACCAGACTGACTATCACGACTGTGCCAATTTCCTTACTGTCTCTTATCCTACTTTAAAAGACAGGGAAACCGAAAACACCGTTACCAACAGTGGATAGCAGATACCCTGAATATTATTCTGTAGCCTGCCCATTCTCATAAGCAATTGGTAGTTTTCCTTTTTTTAAAAACTCACCAAAAAGAAAAATGTTCAGACAAAAATTCAAACTAAAAGAAATCACATGTGCCAAAATTTCTAAATTGTTAAGAAATAATAACAAGGAAAAACAAAAAAGGGTTTGGGCAGGACTGAGACCAATGCTTGCAAGCAGGCATTTTCGAATGAAAGGGGCGGGGGGGGGTTTGAAATGTCCTCCAACGCTCCTTTTCATTTGTGTTTCCTTACATGCGCAGCCTTTTCACAAGGGAAGTTGGGGTTTGAACTTGGAGAGTTACGCATACAATGCTTGTAGCCTTTGACTTAAGTCTGGGGTATCTTCAGACCATCTGCTCCTCTATGAATTTGCCCATTCTCAGATTTCTAGCTCCAGAAGCCCCACCTTCAGGGTTTAGGTGGATTGTGACCTTCGCAGTGCTGGCATCCCAGTTACGGAATATCCTTCCCAGAGACATTTTGCTCGCTGCCTTCCTTGGTATCTTTCAGGCACCCTAGTGAAGATTACATTATTTCCTTGTGTTTTTGAACAACTGATTTGTTGGTTACTGTTGCTGCTGTTTTAGTATGATTTTGTTAGTAATTTAGTTTTGTTTTATTTATTTTCTGTTAAGATTTTAAAGGGAAAGGTGGGATATAATTTGTTTTAAATAAGTAAATAAATACTCTACCATTGATCTACTTCTCCAGTTCTAAAAAAAAGAAGATATAAAAACAGGTTTCAGAAGAAGCTTGGGGAAGCACAGTAGAAGCAGCACAAAGACAGTCTTCAGAGGAAATTGTGGCCCTGGGGGGAAAAGCTAGGGTGGTTTATGGGTACTGGTTCATAATTCATTGACTGTATAGCACGGAACAATGAATAAGCCATCATAGATCTAACACTGGATACAAAACTTTCACATCACCCAATGTCAAAGCAAACACAGTGCTTTTCAGTGAAGACAGGACAGCGGATGCAGTTCATGCTGTTAACTGAGAGTAGTCAAAGGCTGAGTAATTAAAGGCTGCTTTACGTATGCATGTATGTTGTTAAGATTTCCTGATCACATGCACTCAGCACTTGAATTACTGACTGATGAACTGAAAAACGGTACATTTGAGGGTATAACAGAAGATACTAAAGTTCTATCCAGGTGTCAGTTCTGCAATGGCTCATCTACACATACAAATCAGCGCATGTTTTCTGCAGCCAAGGGACAAACATGCATGCGTGAACCAGCCCCCAGAGACATGAACAGCATGCTGAAAGCTCCTTCATTCCTCCTGTTATGCTCTATCTTATACTGTTTTCTATTCTGGTTTATGTTATGATAAGCATTACTTTTCCTGGGAACGTGAATTAAAAACACAAACTATTCAACAGCAAGACAAGTCATTCATAAAATGCGCATCAGGAAGAACACCCTCCATATGTTGTTTCCCTTTTATGTTACTGACACAGCTAGATCCCATTAAGCCTGGACCAGATCTCTGCTAAAGGGTTTGGTAAGACTGAACCAGAAAGCTGCTCATCGTACTTTTCAGAAGGAACTTCCAGCATAATGTTTACATACTGGTTCGTGTATGCATGTCCCTTAGGTGAGAGGCCTAAGTATTGGGACTCACCTGGTCATCTGCTGTATGCACTGTGCTCTGTAGTTCTCATAGTGAACGTCACAAGTTACGTCCTTCAAATCGTGCATGTGCGTCCGGATCAGCATGTTCCGCAGCTTTACAAAGTCACAGTGTGCTTGGTTTTCCACTGTGCAAAACAGCAGACAGACAACACAGGGAAGTAAACTTCATGGCCAGAGCAGGGATTGGAACCCTGGTGTCCCCAAAAGTCTAGTACACCACAATGTCGCCGCCACACAGCCACCTTTCATGTACCCACAAAAACATCAAAACACAATTGAAAATGTTGACTTGGCCAAAATGGTATTCTTGAATATCTGCCTCATTCAAAACCAACTTGCATGCCTTGACTATTGCAACCTCCTCCTTTCTGGTCTTCCATTGTCACACCTCAGTCCCTTCTAACCAGCATATTTTTCTTTTCTTTATTGTTTTCTTGCTGTGAAGTTGCAGCCGGCTTATGGTGACCCCGTAGGGTTTTCAAGGCAAGAGGCGTTCAGAGGTGGTTGGCCATCACCTTCCTCTGCATAGTAAAGGTAAAGGTTTCCCTTGCTCGAAACCCAGTCGAATCCGACTCTAAGGATCCGGTGCTCATCTCCGTTTCCAAGCCGAAGAGCCAGCGCTGTCCAAAGACATTTCCGTGGTCATGTGGCCGGCATGACTAGACGCCGAGGCGCACGGAACACTGTTACCTTCCCACTGAAGCAGTACCTATTTATCTACTTGCAATTTCTTGCTTTCAAACTGCTAGGTTGGCAGGAGCTGGGGCCAGAGACGGGAGCTCACTCCGTCATGCGGCACTCGGGTCTCGAACTGCTGAGCTACAGACCTTCCAGTCTGCAGTTCAGCGGTGCATAGCAACCCTTTTCTCTTTGTTGGTCTCCCATCCAAGTACCACCCAGGACTGACTCTGCTTAGCTTCCAACAAGACCAGCTCGCCTGAGCTCTCCGGGTCAGGGCAGCCAGCATCTGACGCCACGATATGAATGTCTTTTGTCATACTGACTATGTGAAATCCTTCTGCTGGCTTCCCGCCTTGTCCCAGACCCAGAACAAATGTCCTCCTGACCATCAGAGGCCTCCATGGCTCCACCGCCACCTTCCCTCTCCACTTCCGTATCCCCGTCCCGCTCTGGCTGCATCCTTCATTCTTCCAGCCATACAGAGGTCTCCTGCTCCCTCAGAAGACTGTCCCGCTTTCTCCCTTGCTGCTCTTTATGCCTGGTCCTGCCAGCCGGAATGCTTCAATCCCCCTTCCAAACCCCAATTTTCCCTGAAGCCTTCGACAGGGCCTCCTAGTCATCCGTCCCTCTGAAACTAACCCTAAGTACGTGAAACTGACACGGAACGTGCATCACACACACACATCCAGTTCATCCCTTCCCATCTTCTTTGCTATCAGGGGCTTGCATTCCGTAAAGCTCCACAAACACTGACAGCACAGTATAAATTATAAATCAAAATGTACAAAGGGGCTTGCTGAACTGCGCCAAAAGCAAAAGACAATCGGCGCAGTGGGAGAATTAAGTTTAATTCGACTCTGCGACCAATATGCATTTTGCATACAGTTCATTGGGAAGATCTGTCAAGTATCATAGTCTGAACAGATCACCACAGCGACAGAGTTTGAGCCAGGATCAGGGATGGATAGAAACAACCCAGGAGTCTAAGTGATCACAGAATTTGGCTCAAACTCCACTGTTCTGGGAACTGTTCAAACAACGACATTTTACAAATGCCCCGATAATGCGTATATGAAATGAGCATGATAAAGCATACATGAAATTCCCCCACTGCACCAATTGCCTGTGGTACTTCGCATCGTGTTTGGTGCATCGCTCATTATCTTGCCATTACCTTTAAGAACTGCACCAAAGGTCTATCTTGCCCAGCAACGGCCAGCTGGATGCCTTCGGATGCCAGCATGCAAAGCATGGAGATGGCCCACTTCTATGTATGCTCAGTGGCATATGACCTCTGAACCAGGAGATGCTACTTCTCCGTCAAGGCTAATAGCTGTCAATGGTATGCTCCTCTGTGAGTCTAGCTGGTTTTCAAAACGTACCTTCTACGATGCCCCAGGGGTACAGCCTCCCCCGTACTCTCTGGCCTTTGGCTTCCACCACTGTATTACTGCCAATGACTGCAAAGGGGGCACTCTCCTAGAACGAGAGAAACTGGAATTCAGGCCCGTGTTGGAAGATTTTACAGTCAAGGTCAGGGATGGACAGAAGAACCCAACAGTCTGGGTGATCACATAAGCAAACAGACAGAATTCCAGTCTATGGCACTGTTTCTACTTTGGCCGTGCGTTGAATCTGTCCAGAAGGCGCTGTTGACTCAGCGTCAGACGGAACAGGCACGGATGGGCGAAAGGCAGAATTAAGAAAACAGTGTAGGGCATTTCTCTCTGTCCTGAGCACCTCTCAGGAAACAGATCCAGCAAAGCTAACTTCAGAATTCAATTTGAGCAGCCCCTTCCCCCCCCCAAGTTTATCCCTGCTGGGATTGCTATATTGAAGCTCTGGCCAATCACAGCTCCTAGCTGTAATTACAATGTGAAGTAATGATTAGAAGAGTATCTCAGAGCATTGGGGGGGAGTATAGCTCAGAGTAGAGCACACAACCCAGTTCAGTATAAGATAACTTCACGTCTTCACGGTTGGGCAGCCTCCACCAGCACCCATACATTTGGCACAAAGGTGTCATTTAGGGTGGGCACCAAGGTTCTGCATGAGAGGGCACCACTTAGCTGAGGGCCCACCCCCAGACAGAAAAGCTTGGCCCATCTACTGCCAACAGGAATGACAGGAAGCCCCACAGGTCCCCGCAATGTGTCTGGGGCAGTATCTCATTTCATGCTGGGGCAGACATCTGTAAGAAGCAGGGCCCAACTCTCTGATGCTCCTTTTAGCCTTAGAATTGTCAACAGGGCTGAAAAGAGTGTGAAAGTCATCCTCTGCTTCCTCCTCCAACAGGGGTGGGCATATACTATGTACATGCACAGTGAAGGTAGTGTCCTCAGTAGAGTGGCCACTAGAGGGCATCTGGTCCAAGAGATGCGTCAAATTCATTTGTTACAAGGGGCGGATCTGACATAAATGTCACTTTGTCAGGCCAGGCCATGTGTGGCATAAAATACAATGCCAGGTACCGGAGATATAAACCGCATAAAGGACAGAAGCTGGTAAGCTCCGAGTTGGTGCATTCTCACTGCAAGGCCTGGGAGGGGAGGTGCAAAGGAAAACCCACATGGGCGGACTGGGGAGCCAGCAGTGCAGCACTGGGCAGATGCTCCACACTGCTTGACTGCTGCAGACGAGGTTGTTCCGCCATGCTGAAGCCACTATTGGAGTGGCTCCGCCCACTCTCCCCCCCAATAGTCTCCTGTTCCCTCCCTTGCACTAGTTGCTCGCGGGCCGCATTAGAGCCCTGGATGGGCCGGTTCCGGCCCCTGGGCCTTATGTTTAACACTCTTGCTCTAAAACCTGCAGCTGCCCCTGATTTCATTAGCCAAGGCTGCCATTGCCAAGCACTGCTATGAAACAGTGGCTCTATTTTAACACGTTAATTCTCCATACATGCAACAGGAAACAATGGAAAGTAAGCAAGGCATGCTCTTTCAGTTATTAAAGTAATACCTTACACACAGATTTACCGCCAACCCGCAATCCCACCATGTTCCCACTAACTAGTTACCATTTCCCTTCTGCTTCTGGGAACGTAATGGCTAAATCGTTATGGAAAATCTTCACTCCCACCTTCAGCTCCCTGTCTTGTTGCTTGAATTCATCATCTTCATCTGAATCGCACTCTGGAAACTGGTAAACTTTGATTCCAAACTTGTCAATCTCTTCCCGAATCTGCATATAGACAGATAGGAAGACAATACAATAAGAACGGAAGCAGCACATTGTACCACAAAATCCAGTTGAGGCCACAAAACCGAAATACAAAAACGAAAGAAGGGGTCCCTTCTGTTTTGATCTTAACTTGTGTTTTGCCTCAGGAGGGCAAATCCTTCTTGCCAACTCCCCCCCCCCTTTTTTAAACTGCTTGGGATTCTTATTACTGCACCTTCTTACATTTTACCTGAAACATTTACCTCAGAACAGCAAATGCCTCTACTAAACCACTCCTTTCTCTTTTATTCCGCTTCAAGCAGCTCTTTGCCACAGCTTCACTCAGCCAGACCCTCTCAATTCCCCAACTGCCCGGCTTCCATCTTAACCTCTGTTTCTAACCTTCTTGCCCTAATATTCCATCCACTCCCATTGGTTGTTCTTAAGGAGAGGCGGAACTTAACCTGTCCATCGCAGCTGATTTAATCCCATTTGGGTTGTTTTATTATATACCATTTCATTGGCTTTTAAAGTTTTGTCGCCTTTCTTGAGACAGGAAGCTGTCCTGTGAGAACATTAGAATATTTATACTGAGAGGCAGGATATGAATATATTCAATAAATTAAATCACCACCACACTGGTAAGTGTCCAGTTCCCATCAGTGGCCGGGGGACCCTTCCTGGTGCAAAGATACATGTGCTGCCCCAGCCAGCTTTAATGTACCTTTAAGAGTAGTTGCACCCTGGGAATTGGAGTCCACAGTTAGGGGTCCCAGAAGCTTCCCTCTGACTGGCTCATTAAGAGTAATTTCCTGAGCTCAGAGGCGCAAAGATAGTTTTATTGTTCTTTTCCGTTTCTTTGTCCATCAACCCTTACTGCAAGGAGAGGGGAAGCCCATCTCTTCTCTCCAATGTTCCCAAAATTCTACCTTGTGAGTTGCTGGCATTAAAATTGTGAGTGAGCCATTTGGCTGCTGCATAAAATAGTTTGCTCTGGAGCCCTCCTTCCCGGGCGAAGACAAAAATGTGTGAGCCGGAGGCTAAAAAACTGTGAGCTAGCTCACACTAACTCAGCTTAGAGGGAACACTGCTTCTCTCACCGCGGCTATAGAACTGACCTAGATCACAAGATGTAACTTTCCACCCAGCCATCTGGTCGATTGTGAGTAAACGATCTTCTGAATGCGTGTGAAGTTAAATAAAGATGATTTAAGCTCTCCTCAGTAGTCATCGTTGACTAACACCTAGATAGCGTTGGCTTAGCACAGCTTGCGCTGGACAGGACAGTGAGAGAAGACATGGGCTTCCCCTCTCCTTGCGTTGGCTTAGCACAGCTCGTGCTGGACAGGACAATACAGGATCCCTGCCCCCCCCACACAAATCTCAGTGGCCTTTCTGTGGGCAAGGAGCCCAGTGAGGGTCTCTCTCAATCTGGGGTTCACCCTGGGTCAAACTGTACTACTACTACAAAATGCTGAGATGGCCCAATCCTGATCAGGGTGGGGGGGGGATGATCTTGTTCCTCCCCCTGCACCTTTTCAGGTGCTGAAACAGCCCCCCTCTCATGATTGTTTCAGCACTTGCAAAGGCACAGGGGTGAACAAGATCACCTGGTGCCCCCCCCCCCCAGCCCATAGGCAGCATCAGCATTTTTTTAAATGGTCAAATTCTTTTTTTTTTAAGACCCTCGGAGGGGATTTTTTTATTTTTTAGAATACTACATAAACTACAAAGAAAAGAAGGGAAGGGGAACTACAACTAAGGAGAAAGAAAAGTAACCCACACTAAACTAAAAACCCAAGAATAGGAGATCATTACCGTTAAACTGCAGTTAGTAATGTAAAAATAGAAAAACTGTTAATAAACAATATACTTTGTGAGATCCTGTCTTTCTAAGCTTATGTTAAGTGGTCAAATGCTTCTACAAAATGACAGCAGCCACAGGTCGAACCCACAGCAGCCGCAATGTGTAGCATGGCTCTGTGAATATTGCACTGCACTTGTTAAGGCCTCCGTGTCAGATCCCAGAACTGGGGAGCCTAAAAGCCCCACACCCAACATCCCCTCCCACCAGGACTCCCAAGCTGAAAAGCAGCACCGCTCACCCGCTCTTTTAGCTTCTTGATCTCTGAAGGGACGAGGCAGTCGGCTTTGGCAATGAGGGGTACGATATTGACTTTCTCGTGGAGAGCCTTCATGAACTCCACATCCACTGGCCTCAGCCTGCAACAAAGAGAAGGGAGGTAAGAGGCGCTGGCCGGACAGGAGGGGAAGCGGACCGTAAAGGGAAAGCACTCTCAGCTTTCCAGACAAAGGGAGCTTCCACATTTACACCCATGGGTATAGCCAGATCCAGGTTCGGGGGGGGGCACCCCAGGCAAGGCGCCCTTCATTGCCCATCCCCATTATGCATGCCATCCCCTCAGGCACGCATGTGAACACAAACTCTCCTGGAAGAAGGAGCATGGCATGACTCCTGCACACTCCCCTAAGTCCCATCAGCAAAAAGGAGCACGGATGTCCAGCTCTACGCCCTCCGGATGCCTCTCCCTTCATGGAATGGCAAATTACCCCAGAGGTCCCTGCAGGAGTCATCTTCCATTACTGGAGGAAAAAGACGGACCGAACATCTTTGGTCGGCAGCGGACCCACTGTAGGATGCAGGCCCCAGAAGACGCCTCACCATGCCAACCCCCAGCACTGGCATGGAAATCAATCTGTTTTTATCCCACCCTCCCTCCAGTGAGCTGAGGATGGCATACATGGCTGGGCCCCGCCCCCGCACTTCATCCCCACACCGTTCCAGAAGGTAGGTGAGATGGAGAGAGCAACTTGCCCAAGGTCACCCAGTAACCTACGGTGTAGAATGGAGGTTAGAAACCCCAGGCTCCCAGGTCTCGGTCCAATCACTGCACTGCCCTCGCCTATCACAAGCCCGGCCGGTGGAAAAGATGCTCAGCTTTCCCCCTTGCATTCATACATGAAGCTGCCTTATACTGAATTAGACTATCAGTCCATCAGGGTTAATCTTGTCTACTCAAACTGGCAGTGGCTCTCCAGGGTCTCAGGCAGAAGATCTTTCATGTCACCTGCAATCTTCCCTCTAAGCTGTGGAATCTTGTGAGCAAAAGTTCTACTTTGTGAGCTACTGGCATTAAAGTTGTGAGCGAGCGATTTGGCTGCTGCAGAAATTAGTTTGCTCTGGAGCCCTCCTTCTTGAGCTAGGATGAAAACGTGTGAGCAGGAGGCTAAAAATCTGTGAGCTAGCTCACACTAACTCAGCTTAGAGGGAACACTGGACTCACCTGCTGCCTGGTCCTTTTTAACTGGAGATGCCGGGGACTGAACCTGGGACCCTCGGCATGCAAAGCAGAGGCTCTTTCACTGAGCCACAGCCCACTTCTGGTTGCACGAGAGCGTGCTTAGTTCAAAGAGAGAAAACTTGCCACTGACGGCACATGTCCTGATTCAGCCCAATTGTGTACAAAGCATGGAATGCCTCACCCGTGGCCAAACGGAGAGATAAAGTACAGGCAGCAGTGGACTCGGTTGTCCTGGATGTTCTTCCGATTGAGGCCGCTCTCGTCACGGAAGTACTGTTCAAACTGCTGGTCGATGTAATCTGTGAGAGGCTTCCAACTGGGGTAAAACATACACACAGAAAATGTGGATTTTTTTTTAAGGTAGATGGTTTTTAAAAATTATTAGACAGGATCCAGAGAGCAGAGGGCTATCCCTGACTGTTAGCCATGCTAGCTAGATGCAGTGTTCAGAGTCAGTGTTTCTGACAAAGGGTTCACATGAAGATGCCTTATCTGGGGTCCATCTACCTAGGACAGTTAATGTCTACTCAGACTGCAAACAGCTCTTCAGATTCTCAGGCGATATCTTTCATATCGTCTATTTATTTATTTTTGGCTAGCAAGTCACAACTGACTTTTGGCAACCCCCATAGGGTTTTCAGGGCAAGAGATGTGTCGAGGTGGGTTTGCCCTTGCCTGCCTCTGCATTGCAATCCTGGCATTACTGGCCGGTCTCCCATCCAAATACGAACCAGGCTCAACCCTGCTTAGCTTTTGACATCTGACAAGATCAGGCTAGCCTGGGGCCCCCAGGTCAGGACAAAGGGCCATCAAAACACAGCCGACGTATAGCAGCCCTCTGCGTAGCAGCCCCACGCAGCTACCTTGGTGGTCTCTCGTCCAAATACCCTGCTTAGCTTCCAAGGCTAGCCTAGGCTATCCAGGTCAGGGACATCATCAATTAGGTAAAGGTAAAGGTTCCCTTGCTCAAAAGCCAGTCAAATCTTACTCTAGGGTTGCGGTGCTCATCTCCGTTTCAAAGCCAAAGAGCCAGCACTGTCTGAAGACGTTTCCGTGGTCATGTGGCTGGCATGACTAAACACCAAGGCGCACAGAACGCTGTTACCTTCCCACCGAAGTGGTACCTATTTATCTACTTGCCATTTCTTGCTTTCAAACTGCTAGGTTGGCAGGAGCTGAAACTAGAGACGGGAGCTCACTCCGTCATGCGGCACCCGGGTCTCGAACTCCTGAACTACCGACCTTCCACAGCCTGCAGTTCAGCATCTTAACCACTTGAGCCACCGCAGCTCCTCATCATCAATTATCGGAGTCTTAACTGGAGATGGCAGGGACTGAACGTGGGACCTTCTGCAGGCTCTGTCAATGAGCCACAGTCTCCTTCCTTACATACTGACAGAACTACAACTTCCCCATTTTGGGACAGGAGGAGGGGACGAGATAGTTCAACAGCTTTCAGATTAAATTTATATTGCAGATGGCAGAGGAGTTGAATAATAAAAAGAGGAGGACTATCAAAAGGGAAACTGGATGGGACTGGGCTCAGAATGTTCCTCTCCTTTTCCTTCCAGCCTCTGTCTCCCCTTTTCTTACCATCCGGCAACAACAGAATCATTGGGGTGGGCACTCACCATTCAGTGTTGTTAACAGCATCTCCAAAACCCGGAGTGTCAACTATCGTTAGCTTCAGCTTCACCCCCTTTTCCTCAATGTCCACCGTGTGTTTCACAATCTCTACCGTCTGACTGATTCTTTCTTGATATACAAACATTAAGAAAAAGAAAGAAGATAATGCACATTAGTGTCAGGATGTCTTCCTTCCCTAAAAAGTAAAGGTAAAGGTTTCCCTTGCTCGAAAGCCAGTCGCGTCCGACTCTAGGGTTGCGGTGCTCATCTCCATTTCAAAGCAGAAGAGCCAGCGCTGTCCGAAGACGTTTCCGTGGTCATGTGGCCGGCATGACTAAACACCGAGGCGCACGGAATGCTGTTACCTTCCCACCGAAGTGGTCCCTATTTATCTACTTGCAATTTCTTGCTTTCGAACTGCTAGGTTGGCAGGAGCTGGAACTAGAGATGGGAGCTCACTCCGTCATGCGGCACCTGGGTCTCAAACTGCTGAACTACCGACCTTCCACAGCCTGCAGTTCAGCGTCTTAACCACTTGAGCCACCGCAGCTCTTCCCTACCACAGCCCAAAATATGGCTACATCCCCACACACTTTTCTTCCCTCTTCACACACAGAATCATAGAGTTGAAAGGGGCCATACAGACCATCCAACCCCTCCCCCCCGCTCAATGCAGCACCAGCCAGTGAAGGGGAGCTCACCACCTCCCTAAGCAGCCAATTCCCCTGCGGAACTAGGAGCTAGGAAATCTGTTGAAATACCTCAGTTGCAAACTCAAGGAACACTTACTTCAGAATGAACCTGTCCCTCAGCTGATTTGCTTGTGCGAGGCAAGGTAGGTGATGACCAGAGAACAGGGCCTTCTCTGTGGTGGCCCCCTTGACTCTGGAATTTTCTCCCCACATCAGACAAGTTTGCTAAGCTTTAGGTTTTGAGTGAAATATTTTTTATTTATTGAAGCAGGGAAGAATCAATGCTCACTCACTGCTTCTGTCTTACAAATGCTGCCCCTTGCAGTATTTAATCTCTTTTCCCCATCTGCGTCCCAGAAGTGAGCCTAGCTAGGGTGAAAACAGCCTTGGACAGCACTTGCAAAGGACAACCAGTGGGTGCAAGAGGGGCTCGAGGTGACTTCCAACACAGGATAAATCATAAAGTACTAAGAAGTAGCAACATAAATGAACAGAATAAATACCTATTGATTTAAAGCACACAGTGTGTGCATCCCACCAGTCAGTCTTTCTCTATTCTGCATTCCCCATTATCTCAGAGAATACGGTGCTGGGGCCATGCGTTTGCACAGGTGCCTCCGTGGGGCTCTGAACTGCGATCCCCATTTCTAGTGTCTCCCTGTCCTGTGACAAGGGCTGGACAAAATCACTTTTTTCAAAGACCACTCTAAAAGCAGTGCTGGAAGACCCATGAACAGGTCATTTCCATGCTTTATGAAGAAGGGGGGGGGGATATTGGATCTTTACCCTTCACTACCCAAAGGCATCTCAAAGCAGCTTACAAACTGCTTTCCCTTCCCCTCCCCACAACAGACACCCTGTGAGGTAGGTGAGGCTGAGAGAGCTCTTTCGAGGGCTGGTCCTGAGAGAACAGCTCTGAGAGAACTTCTGACTGACCCAAGGTCACACCAGCGACTGCATGTGGAGGAGTGGGAAATCAATTATGGTTTTCCTAGATTAGAGTCCATGCTCCTAACCACTATACCAAACTGGCTCTCACTGTACAGGGTACTGATTTGAATTAGGGCCACAGCATGCATAAAGGGGAATAGGTTTACACCCTTTCCCCTCAGTATACAGACATGCTACTAATTTGCATTGACATTACAATATCCCCACAACAACCCTGGAATGTAGGTAAGAATGAGCAAGAGATGACTGGCCCAAAGTCTTCACCATTCCCCTCAACCCCAGTCGAAATCACAGCCCTGCTACTATTTCCATTTAAAAATGCATCTCTGAGCATCTTATCTAGTCTGTCTTGAACCCGCTTGTTGAAACAGCCAGTGACATTTCTATCAAATACTTTTAGTTAAGTAATAACACTAAAAACTACTTTGGTCAGGCTTACAGCGTTCAATGAAGAGATGGCACAAGAGGGAAAGAACGTGTTTCAGCAACAGTAATGGGAAAACAGGAAGTACAACATTACAGAGGCACTTCCTGCAACAAAGGTTAAGAGCTGCCATGACAGTTTTGGCATCACAGTAGCTATTTTTCCCATAAAAGCACTGCTGGTCCATCTGGACTAGCAGCAGTGTGGACAGGGAAGCCAGCTTTAAAAGAGAGCCTGTTCAGTACCCTCCCATAAAAAGCTCTATTAGTTCCTCGCTCTGGATACAACATACCCTCCGCGTTGAGAAGCTTCCGGTCTTTGTAGAGGTCTGTCAGGAACAAGCTGTTCACCAGTGTAGATTTGCCCAGACCTGACTCCCCTAAAAGAACAAACCCAAGCCCTGAATTAGAAAAACATCTTGGACATCGTTTCTGAGGCTGAATTCCGAGACAATGTTTTGTTACTTTTTGGGAACAGTGTGCAGGCATTCTATTATCTTTCACAAGCAGGAAATGTTTTTATTCAGGATACCCTGTCCTTGGTTGGATGTAGCATCTCAGCTCCATCCAGTCTAGTTTTATCTCATTTTGTCCCCATTCGTGATGGTCATCAAAACACCATTGTGTTGGCAGAGGAGACCTCACATGTACAGTGTCCTGGATGAGGCCTCTTTCTGAACAAGAGCACTCCAAGCCCACATTCAGACAATCACAATAAATGGTAGTTTCATCAAACCACAGTTAGTTGTAATGTGTCAACACAAATAATGCACACCGGGCTTTCACAGCAGGCACCAAAAATGGAATTTCCCAAACTAGGGATTGCATCTGGTTCGTTAACCATCATCTATGGTTTGTTGTGATGTCTAAATCCACAAACCACAGTTTGTCAAGTGTAAGCACTGTTCCTTGCAGTTACCTAGCCACAGAGCAGACTGCTCAGGGAAGGAGCCCTCTCTGTGGGGAGACCAAAAAAGGCAAGGAACAGACCACTCCAAATGTACACACAAACTTGGTTTTGTTAGTTACAAATGGTAAACTAACCAGAGTTTCTGCACAAAGTGCAGCTCAAACAAGCCACAGTTTACTGTGATGTCTGAATGACAATTTCCCAAGCCTCACCCCAACAGCCAGAGGGCCATCAACTGTGGAGGACTGTTGCCTTCATGCCCTGCATGTCAACTTCATGGACAGCCACTTTGCAAACAAATATATACTGGACCATAAGGTCTTGGCTCTGATGTAGCAGTAGGGTTCTTACATTCCTGAGGAAAAGCTAGGGCATATCTAGGCTCAGCCCCAGAATGTCAGGACTTGTCTTAAAATACAGGAAGAAAAAACTTCCTCTATGCATGTACAAAGTTCATTTCCCTTGCCACTAAAGAAATATACCCATCCAAAGCATAATTTCCAGCTTCGGAATGCAGCGCTATGCCTTGCATATCTGAAACTAACTAAATGTGCTAGGCAGCTGCTAGGCAGCTTACAAATTGTGAGGAAACCCAACTGACAATAAATTTCTGAGGAATGTCAAACTACAAAGTCTGGGGTTGGAGGAAGAGATTTGTGTGGGACTGTTCCATGTGCCAACAGAAAACAAAAAATACACAAAGAAAGACTTCAAATGATCATTATCCAGATGGCTCCATGATCCCTAGAGCCCTTTGAAACGACCATGTCAAGGCAGACAGAAATCATAGCAGATTCAAGTCCTGGCCAGAACTGGAGAGCCAGATGGCAGGAAAACACAAATCCTGACTGGACCACTCAACTGCCATCTTTCACAAGGCGGCAAAATGGTGTTGGCAGATGGATTGTCTCACACCATATTTCTCTTTTTCAGGGAGAGGTTTTAAGGATCGAACTAGATCAGTTCTGCATTCAATATTTTTGCTTTGTACATAGCAGACTTGGCTTGGAAGCACTGGTGAGCGGAGATACCATTTGCCCCACTGGAGAGCAGAGATACAAGCAACAGAGAGAGAGAACCTATATTTTCCTTCCTCAAGGCAAATACAGCTCTTATGGGGCCATTTCAGATCAGGCGGAAAACAGGGGAAAGCCTGTAGTGATAGAAATTACAATTTAGGAACATTCCTTTATATTTTACAGAGTGAAGGAATTGGCAGGTAATTTGGGGACTTCCCCTAAGATCACATGACCTTAGATCTAGAACAAGGCTTAGAGACTCCTGCACAAGGTGCTTTAGTTGCTCTTCACACTAAGGTTGCTCTTCATACTAAGGCTGTTTTAAATCATTCCTCACTTTTGGTAGTCTTTATTGATGGACCCCAGAAAAATTTCACTACTCATTGTGCTGTCACTAGTAATTGTCCTGATTCAAACTGAGAGCCCCACGCACTGCCGTTTACAAAGGAAATACACTTGGATGTTCCAAACACAGATTAGGCCAAAGAACACTGGGGTGCTCCCGCTAGAGGGAAATAAGGAATGACATGACCCTTCCTGCAGGACAGTAAGTCGGTTGCAGTAATCTGGGTTGCCTTTTTGCTTGTGTCTGCGCCTTACTGGGATGAATTCACAGGACAGGCCAAATTGCAGATCTTTCACACCTGGAGTGCAAGATAATCTGTCATGTGCCATCCGTGGCCATGGTGCACTGAGAAGATGATGGCTTTGCCAGCACAGATTACAAGTTCTAGCCACTTCTTGAGGGGCCCAAAGGGCCACATAACTCAGCCATATTCTGGAGTTCTTTTAAATTTGCCAGATTCGATATGGGGTAGGTTTGCTGTGTAGAAGGGCGAAACTTGGCACACACAATCCATGTTGCGCTGTTAAAGGCCCCCTCCCACACTGAATTTAGCAGACCTAAATTTGTTTGTTTGTCCTTACGTATGGTTAATTTATTTATTACATTTGACTTTTAGGTCACCCTCCCCTGAAAGACAGGGCTCAGGGCGGTATACAACAGTGGTAAGATTACAGATCCTACAAACAGGTTTCAAAATTAAAATAATACATAAAACACCATTTATAGCAGCCTAAGCCAATCTGATGGCGATCATTCCTGGAGTGTCATTGCCTCGTAGAGGAGGAAGGCGGGGAAACGAAGAGGAAGAGGAGTGTCACCACTAGATGGAGGACTATCGCTGTCCTCAACCCGACACCTGGCAGAACATCTCTGCCTTACATTCCCTGCGGAATGGCAACAAGTCCCACAGGGCATGGATGTTATATGGAAAAGAGTTCCACCAGGCAGGGGCCAAGGCAGAAAAAGCCCTGGCCCTAGTTGAGGACAGCCAGATGTCTCTTGGGGCAGGGAGCATCTGGAAGTTCTTATCTCCTGAGCATAAAGCAGTCCCGAAGGTGCGTATTTATACCCGGCCGAACCTTTCTTTCAGTCTGTGAAACTTCATTTGCAACAGCAACAGGATTCATACTCGAGAGGTAGACCCATAATTCCCAGTACGTAATTTCATTTCATTTATTTACATAATTTATAGCCCACCTTTCTCACTTGGATGACTCAAGGCAGTTTGCACAGATTGAGTCAATACAATCAGGATGGGGCATTCAACAAACAATGCAATAGGATTAGGGCTGCAGAACCAACCAGGACTCTAGAAACGGAACTGAAGCAAAACCTAAGTATTAACATGACACATTAAATGATGCAAAATCACACAGTAGGATCTTACTTACAGCAAGATGTACATAGTAGTATAGACGACAGTGCTTAATAATTCATCCAAATAACTTTGTGAATCATTTTGTATCGTGCAACCGTGGTTACTTAACAGCAGGCCAGGGAGCAAAGCCCGAAAGGGATTCCACTGAGGTGCCTGAAAATCCTCACCTGCCACCATGAGAGTGAAATCAAAGCCCTTCTTCACAGATTTCCGGTGCACCTGGTTGGGCAGAGTAGCAAACCCCACATATTGTTTTTCATGGTCCTGCAAGAAGAAGACAAGCAGCAGTTGGTCACAGAGAATAAAAGAAAATCTTGTATACTTCTGGAGTGAGCAAAAGCAGCAGAAAGTGGAGTTTTGTAGGTGCTGGGAACATTTTCAGCCCTAGAAGATTATAAATTCAAGAGCAATAGTAAAACTTGAGAAGGAAGGGGAAGGTCTAAGCTGATAATTTCCTGGCATCTCCCTGGGAAGAATATTATCTGATGAATGGATGAGCTGAAGAGAGCCTTGGTCATAGATGCTGGCTGCACTGCCAAGTCTAAAAAAAGACAGAAAGATTGATTGGTACCAATTATCTCTCTCTGCAGCATTTTGATGGGGACTTATGGCTGATTAATGAGAAACCAAGTGTTTCTTTAATCAGTTATTTCAAGAGAGGCCCAAGTTTAACAAGGTTCAAGAGTGAAATGGATGAGTCTAAGTACAATTTAATAAGATGGAAATCGTTTCCTGTGCTAGTTCTCGAAGAATAGGGATAGCAGAAAGCATTGGCATTTCTAACTCAAAGGCAATGCTGTATCTAACAGTAAACTGGCTAGCCCCTGTGTCTGTGACAAAAGCCAAAAACACTGGTCTATCCCTACCTGGGGAAGTCCCAGGTATACATAAAAATATGATTGTGTGGGTTAAGCAAGCAAGGGTAAGAGGAGGGCTAAACCATCTTCAAAATGGATAGGATACTGAGAGCAGCTGAGTGACAGGTGGAGGAAGAAGGAAGAGATGGAGGGGAATGACATTGCACTGTTTGGTGCGATGTCACTTCTGGCAAATACCCTACCATAGAGGTTTGCCCGAACCCCAGAGCGTCGCATTGGCATCGTGCCGGTGCCATGATATCACTTCTGAGTATTCGCAGGAAGTGACATCACGCCACCAGTGCAACACCCCTTTTTAAAACACTTCTTTCCCTGCTGCTGAAGTAGCAGACCTGGTTTCCTTAGTGTCAGGCTTGGCCTATGAATGCGGCAGAGTGAGGGGAGCAATAAAGGGATCAGAGTGCTAAGGGGGTTGAAGAGAACATGCCACTTCAGACTGCAGGGAAGGGATTGCACTTTTCAGAACTCCCTCATATTCATAATTCCATGCATGTGGGGAAGCTAGCACAACATGAGGGGCGAGGTGAGAACCTCCCTCTCTGATGCGCTGATGTACTGGAAGTTTTTGATGGGGGGGGGGAACACTGTGACTCTCCCCACCTGCTCTGTGAAATGGTACAATCCATTCTGCCCTCTCAGAATTCTGCCACCTCATTCCACTGCTGAACGTGTAGACTGGACTGAAGCTACCGGGGATGGGGTGGGGAAAGTGGAAATCAGTCTGCTCAAATCCCTCAAGAGCTTAGAGAAGGCTGAAGGGCGACAGGGGGTTGGCATTCTCAAATTGTTCCTCTACCTTCCGTAATTCCTCACGGTGCCCCATCCGCACCAGCTCACTGAAATTCTAACGCCTGTCTTGTCAGCTGTTAGCGGCACAATTTATTGTTTTCCACATCAGACAATGGAGCCTGAAATATACATTCTTTCTGTATGTTGACTCCCCAGATGGTATGCAAGAAACAGGAATGTGGCATTCATTACGGGAACACGCGTGAAATATGAGCATGTCTTGCACTACCTATTTGCACCATAATAATTCTCCATGGCATTCACCCACCACAGGTGCCCATGCCAAGGGAGCACCCCACTTATACCAAGCATGTCTGTGCTGCCCCTCAGCAATGGCTAACACCAAGATAAAACATCATAAAGCAAGAAATACTGCATGTTAGGTGCTTGCTTCTGGGGGAGACGGTTTTACCTTTAAACACGCTTTGTGTACCTAAACTTGGTAGTTTTCTGCTGCCACCAGGAACTAAAAATTCCAATTCTCTCTCTTTTGGTAGTATGACCTAGGGTCTAGGCACTTCAGAGGACTATGTGGCCCTGAGGAAGAACTGTACTGATTGCTGGGATAAGCTTAAATAAAAATTGATTTATTTAATAAAGAACAAAATAGGTTTTTGGTTATTTTGAACAGCTGCTGACGAAAGGAACTTGTAAATATAACTGGCAAAGCTTGGTGTTACAAAGAGTCTCTCAACCTCCAAACTCCACTCTGACAGGCTTATACACTCAGTATACTCTCTCTCTCTTGTCTATAGTCACACAGACTAAACTATTGGTCTTATTCACCCAGAATTAGACTCAAAATTCCATAGTCACACAGACCATGCTGTCTCTTCAAACTTCACACACAGAACTCTGTCATAAAACTCAGAGTCACACAGACTCTCTTCAAAACTCTTCCATTCTTGTCTCTCTCATATCACAGAATCTCCTCATAGACACACACACACACAGAATCCTCTGACACCCCTCCTCCCACACTCTCAGTCAGCAGCCAATCAAATCACACTTGTCACCCTCTATCACTCTTCTCATACTACTGCAGTCAAACTCAACATATAAAGGCACACACACACCAAAACATGGAATCACTACACTGCACCTTGCTCCAATTACAGGAAGTCTACTCACTGAGATCTATAAAATTATGTGGGGTATGCAGAAGGAACTTTCCCTCCCTTTCCCATAACGGTAGAGAATGAGGCTGTCACCTATTGAAACTGACATGGACAACAGATTCAGAACAGAACCAACCTCCCCCCCCCCTCCAAATGTACTTCACGTAACGCATAATTAACTTGTGGGACTTGCTGCAAGGATGTAGTTGTGGCCAAGAGCTTGGATAGTTTTGAAAGATTAGACAGATTCATGGAGCATAGGTCCATAGACAGGGCAACAAAATGGAACCTCCATAGAACCTCTGAATGCCATGATGCTAGAAGGCAGCAGCAGGGGGAGATTTGGGCCTCTGTGCCCTGCTGTAGGCCTTCTAACGCATTTGGTCAGCTTCTGTGGTAAACAAGGTGCTGTTTTAGGTGGACCATCGCTCTGATCCAGCAGGGCTAGATTAAAGCTTTCCACAACTGGAAATGTGATTATTGCTTTGCTATCAGAAACCAGTCACTACATTCCATAGCCTCCAACTATACCCACTGAATAGGCAGAGGATCTATTCATAGCACGCTGGTCCAATCCTCTCTGCATGCATCCAACACAGTGTCTTTGGTCAGCTGGTGCACGGTTCCAACTGTGGCTACCATAAACTGAAGGGATCTTGTACATGCCCGTAACATGGGCCAAACTCAATCCAGGTCGGTTTTTAGCACACCATCTTGGTAGCATGTTCTTGACCAACTGTCGTGAGCAGGGGCTAGGAAGGTTCACTACTGGCTGCCACCACTCTGCTATGGGTCTTCTTGGAGGGCCCAGAACACCCACCCTACCCATTTTCACAGTACTTTTACAACAGATTTCCCCTTGTACATGACCAAATGAGGCATGCAGACCCAGGCAGAGTAACAAATAGTTTTATTAAGAGATTTAACAACTTTAAATCAATAACAAGTAGGAAAAATGAGCAAAGTAAAGGCAGGTAAATCAGTCAAATAATAAATCCTAACACATCTGTCTACACTGTTCTCGCCTTCCCTATGTACCTGTTCACTAATTCACCCCTTTTTGGATGAGGGATCCCTCTGTCTGCATCAGCTTCCACCAGCCCTGCTCCCTGAGAGAGAACACCCTCCCACTCTGGGTAAGGCCTTTTATCTCCTCCTCCCAGGCACCACCCTCTGTTCACCTGCTTGTTAAGTATGCAACTCAACAACGTTGTAAGTAACAAGTGAATCAGCTTTATTAAGAATGAGAACTTCCAAAGATCACACAACACACACAGACAGTGGACCACAGCTCCTTTTTAAACAATCCCGGGCTGGTGTAACCACGCCCTCACTCAGTTAACGTCCAATCACATTACAGAGATAACAACCAATCCCTTTTGTTCCATCCAGTGCAGTTCTCTTACATTTGATTGGTTACAGTTGTATATTAGCCAATGGGATTGTTCCAGATTAGAATCCTGGCTAAGGTTTCAAGCTTAACATTAGTTTGCTGTGGTGAAGACACAATACGGCTGGTGTAGTTTTCCCTCCAAAATCTCCTGTAGAGAGCCTGGGAAATGTAGGCCCTGATAACTACTCCAAAACGGGCTTCCCTGGAGCCACTAGGCCTCCCCAGAGCCTGTAGGCTGCACCATACTACGCCCATGATCATGACACCAACCAACAGAGTTCCACCAAGACTCTACAGATCTGCTGTGCTCTGTCCTCCAAAGAAAGGAAACCATACAGAGGCTACAATCTGCTTGTCGCATATGCTCTCACCTGCTGAAGTAAGACCTGAGGGTTACTGCAGTGGCACCTGAAAGCTTTTCTTCCATCAGTTCACCAACAGGCTAGCCTGTAGGTTTTATGTACTAGACTAAACATTTCCCCCAGGCTTGTAGGTTTGCCTGTTTCTCTTCCCTCTCCTTTGGTTGGTTTCTCTTCCCTCTCCTTTGTATTGATCAATATTTTATTGTTGCTTATTGGAGTTCACACTTTAGTCTAGCTTTATTTGTGGTTAGCAAAAACTAGCTTTTTAAAAACTGGAATGTGGGTTTTAATGCAGTCTATTGATTCAGTTCCATTTTGTTATTTAGTGTGTGTGTGTGTGCATGCTTTTAATCTTGCACAAAAGCCACCTTCCAAACATAGCTGACAAAATAGCTTATAAATATTTGGAATTAATAAATATCCACAGTTTCTCCACTACCTGAGTGCCAAATGTTAATAGCCAAAGAGAGCTATACCCAAAGTCCTGTTTACCCGCAAATGCTCTAGTTATGCCAGGCAGGACTACGCCAAATTATAAGGAAAACAACTAAAATGTACAGATCTGCAGGACTGGACCAAAGGCCAGAGTGCTCCTCAGAGCCCCCACAATCTTCACACTGTGGAGAAGGGTAAATGTGCACACTCAAAGGGGCCATTCCCCTCAGTGTTTACATTGGCTCCAGAATCAGGCCGGCTACTTCCTGTTGCCCTCAGGGGGACAGGA